TTGTAAGAGCCTGGCACTTGATAGCTAAATTTTTACAAAAACTTTTCTAGTTAACAATAGTATATACAGCAAATCCCAGTTACTAAACAACTAATTACAGAAAAGACTTCGATCAAAAGATAAAAATACCAAACTATCTTCTATGAAAAAGTGCGAGCCTTCGAAAAACTAAATTTTTACGTACTGCTGCATAGAAGCAAAAATCACCACCTTCTACTACTATTACCGGCCTCGTATTTGGTCGTAAAATCAAAGGCAAATGAAACGTCATTTATAGTGAAGCAAAACCATTTCTTGTTGAATACTTTAGCCCTTTAGAAATACTTGCCTACTGATCCGTTTCGCTGAAATCGAAAGGGTGATCCAATTCAAAAGCCTATCTGAACAAAAGCATCTAGCAATTGTGAAAACTACTTTAAAAGAAGTTTTAGAATCATTTTTTGTTAATAGCGATGAAGTCTTACGCTGTATTAAAATGGTGGCAATACGTTCAACACAGAAATGAGTACCCAGGAGAACTGAAGGTAACATCAAACAGTTAAGATAACATCACTCTCCGTTACATCAAGCATCAATGTCAAGCTTGTGTTGTTAAACGACACAAGAACTCAAGTGAGGCTTCGCTACCAAACCGCCAGAAAAACTAGCAAAAGGTGAACAGACAGGTGTAAAACTATCACCAGTAAACTGCATGGGGGGCTGAGACCCCCAAGAAAGAAGGTTACCTATAGAAAAAGCATTTTCGAAATGCAGGCAAGATCAAATGTAATACTTTTGAAAAAACAAGAAAAAAAGGAAGAAACTTCTCTCAAATTTCTGACGTCTCAGTGATCTTAGCTGAAAAACCAATAATTAGCAGATAGAAGAACATTGATTACAGCGCAGCAAAAATGTGTTTTAAGTTGTTGTCTAACATCTAAAATATGCCAAAACAAAAAAAAAAAGCAAGTAACTGAAACCTTCAAAGTTCTGAAAAACTTTTAAAAAATAAATTTAGTCAATAAGTAAACAAACAAACAAAAAAACAAAAAAAAAAACTGTACAAATGAGGCGCCAGTTTCATTACTGAAATATTCAGTCAACAATTTCAGTGATCGTAGACACTGATTCAGATATAACTACATTAAAAAAAAGTAGTTTATAAAATATTTATCTCACTGAAATTTTTCTACTACTTTAACTTCTGAGAATTGTTCAGTATACCAATGATGTAACTTCCTTACAGTCTTACAATAATATCCGTATTCAGTTATTTCAGATTCTCTCCTCTTTCTTATTGCACAACCATTTGTCACATACTCTGCTCCTATATCCAATTTGTGCTATTAGCAACTAATGTCAATAAAAAATGATGCAAAAAAAACCAACAACAACAAAAAAAAAAAAAAAAAAAA